CAATAAAACTATCAATAGTTAGGTTAGACACTTTTACTGACACAAATGCCCTTAATATTGTACAAAACTAAAAATACCAATAGATACAGGCTAAAACGATTTTACAATTCCCTTAAGTTTGTATAAAATAAAAAATACCAATAAACAGGCTAAAACAGTATTACTGATACAACTGCCCTTAAGTTTGTATAAAACAAGAAATACCAATTGACAGCCTAAAATATAACTGATAAATATGTCTTTTGGTTTGTATTGAAAAAGCCTCTCTGCTAAGACAGAGGGAAATAGAAAACATCTACAAGTCATTGTTAATATTGACATATTGGATAAGACTATATTTTGCTGGTCTCAAACAACAAACACATACACTAAGTACTGGTAATTTTACCTCAATGAGCTGAACATTCCACTTTTCTCTCTTGTTTGCTTAGCAGCAATGTGACACTGATTGACTACACATCAACACCTTGCCACCTTACTCTGTGACTGATTTGGGGGTGTCCTCCCATTAGTTAGACGTCCCAATAGTTAGACAGCTTATAACAACACTTTAAACGGTTGAGTGCACACTAATCCTTATGCTTGTTACCTCAGACTTTAAAATGGAATAGTCCAGATAAGATCTGACAACCAAAGCAAAGCAGCTTTAAATAGATACTTTAATATTATACTTAACATTTAATGACACTTTACATTTGATAAATTTTATACAGTTTGTAACAACACTTTGTGACAGTTTTTGGTAATGTACACTTAACATTTAATAACTGTTACAGTTTATTTATCCCCGACAGTCGTACATTTCTCGTCTTGACGACACATCTCCAATGTGTGCAGGTTTGCCTCTCGCGGTTTCTGTTGCAAATATATCCATCTAATATCAACTGCTTACTTCCACGCCGAGAGGTGATGTACTCTACTTTCCTTAACCCAGCCATATTGAGACTGATAATGATACATACCCCAAGATCATATTTTTTTGTTTGATAAGTAGATAATCTAAACTCAACTCCTTCAACTGATCATACAGTAAGACAATAAAGCTACTCCATAGTTTACATAGTTAATCTCATGCCTATTGAACCTGTGCTGAGAGTAAGGTAATTTAGGTTAATTCAACGAATTTGTAACATATATACTGCCTAAACTGTGAGTCCCCTATCCCTACTCAGTACTTTAATCTAATTAGGACTGATCCATTACACCTGTAGGTATATTCCCTCTTTGCCTAAATAGAAATGTCTAACAATTGGGACGTCTAACTAATGGCATATAACCAATTTGGGTCATCACATAGAGCAGCCAATTGATCCAGACAGAACTAATCAAGTGATTGACACAAAGGGAGATAATCCTCCTCTATAGCCTGAACACTCATGATCAGTTGTAAGGAAAATAGCCGAGCGTGCTTGCATGCAATAGATTAGGGTGATACGGTTACATACGAATAGTGTCAAAACATGTATGATTTTATTTGACTGACATGCATTAGTTATGACGTTATTTTCTTAAGAGGTTTTTAAAAAAATAATTTACAACAACCGCACATTTCATAAATGTGAAATAAAACGTTGACAATTCTAATCTCTTTCTGTCATGTCCCTATTCTTTGTTCGTTGTTGTTCCTTGTGAGTTGTCACACTCAGCAATATTACAGCTTTCTGACGGCGGTCTGTAAATAATCAAGTCTGGACCAGACAATCCAGTGATTGACATCATGAGCATTGATCCATGCAATTGGGATACGATGACATGCACCAACCAAGTATGACCACCTGATCCCGTTAGTCGCCTCTTTCAACAAGCATAGTTGCCATCTATGGCAAGCATGGGTTGCTGAAGACCTATTCTAACCCGGATCTTCACAGGTACCCATTAAACAATAAACAAACATATATCATGTATATATATGTATATTGATGTAATGTGTACTTCTTAATTAGGCTTGACTGGATATTGTCATGTTGTTGGAAGGTATCCTGCCTTTGATGTAATTGTGTCGATCGCAGTGAGGTCAGTCAATTGTGTGAGAAGTGAGTTTGAAGTTTGACAAGTGTGGGCGTGTGGACGTTATGTTTTATTTTGAAGTCATCAGGGGAATTATAAGCTTAATTTGGATACTTGGGACTCCCAAATGAGTTCACAACAACCGGGAATTTGACACATCCAGTTCGAGAGATCTAAGGATAAATGATGATAAATATAAAAGGAATTCGAAAAGGACCGGAAGGTGAGTTGAGACAACTAGGAATTTAACACATCCAAGTTCAAAACAACGACGTTCAACTGTACATGCAGACAACTCAATCAGCAATACTAGGTCACCAAAAAATCAGAATGCTCTTATCCATCTATGATTCTAACATCCAAAAGGTTTATCAAAACCTTTGCGTGGAATTACATTGACTTGTTGAAATATTAACAACAAAAATAATCCTCGATAACTTCCCATGCCAATGAGTGAGTGAGTGAGTGAGTATGGTTTTACGCCGCTTTTAGCAATATTCCAGCAATATCACGGCGGGGGACACCAGAAATGGGCTTCACACATTGCCCATGCCAATGAACAATCAATAATTAAAAAGTAAATACTGCATACAGCAACAAGCAACAAGTGGGAGGGATTTTAATTTCCGAGCATTGACAGCTGATCACTTCCAGTCAGTGATCTGCAAATCATCAGACTGACGCTGCAACAGTTTACTTTTCTAGCTATATGATAAAATTGTCTAAGATAATTTAAAATGTACCAACTGAAATTGCTAAAGTTAATGATCCAACGAATCAGTATCAGTTATCAAATAATAATCAGGTATCAAATAATATTCAGGTATCAAATAATAATCAGGTATCAAATAATAATCAGGTATCAAATAATGATCAGCCATGATGATCAAATAATGAGACGACTGTCTGTTTCTGACTGCTCCTAAACATTTAGTTAATAATGTTGTATAGCATACATTGTCCCTACTATTTACACTATGTTCTAAATGGGCAGGTCAATATGGGTGCGACCATTTCACAGTTTATTCTACTTAACGAATCCGGTGTCACATGATACCGAGTCGTAGTCAAGGGTATTCAAAATGTCCCAGTTGGGCCTGAATGTTTGAACATGTCATGAGAATAGTGTTTGGTATTGCAATGAAACACTTTTCAAGTTCATTGAAACGTAAGCATACATTTAAAGAAGTCATTTTACTTGGAGTTTAGAACGAGATTTTATCCATTTCAACAATTAAGTAGATAACAGTACTACTTGTAAGGGGCCTTGTCCAAAGTTAATGAAACTACACACATATATACATGCACCTTTAGTCGCTATATTGCTGAAATGATGCTGATGGGACGTTAAACTTTAACTCACTTGAACCTTTGCCATGTCATATTGGTGATAATGGCCATTTGAAACAAGCACTGAATCTTCATTTAATTGTTGAGAACCAGGCAAACAAGATTATGATCATCATACTCATATAAATATGAGGTGAGGTGAAATAGTGTTAAACGTCATGTCCAAAATTATTGCATTTATATAGCGACGTTTTCACCTCTCTAAGTGTACCTCAATAAAAGTAACAGAATGTAGGTTGAGGAACTAACTCAGACTTGAGCATGGTGCAAGATGGCATTTCCATGTTTCTAAAACTGGAAAATGAACAAAAGATACAGCATTTATCAAAGTTGCAACTTTGTTTGTTTGTTTGTTAAACGCCTCACTCAGCAATATTCCAGCTATGTGACAGCGGTCTGTAAATAATCAAGTCCGGACCAGACAATCCAGTGACTGACATCATGAACATCGACCCACGCAATTGGGATACGATGACATGCAACAACCAAGTCAGCGAGACTGACCACTCGCTGACTGACCGATCCCTTTAATCGCCTCTTACGACAAGCATAGTCGCCTTTTAGGGCAAGCATGGGTTGCTGAAGACCTATTCTATCCTCGGATCTTCATGGGTCCAAAGTTGCAACCAATTTGTTTACCAACTGAAATTTCTAATTGGTGACCAATAATATGTAAGCAGTCACTGCTTGGTTACTAAGAAAGATCAAGCTGGTGACTTGATATTACTACAGATAACTGCATAAACTTTGGACAGAAATACAATACATTAATAAATATTGAGCGAATGAGTGTCATAAACATGATGAATTGCATAAGCTACAAGGAACCAGTCCCGGCCTGAAGGCCTGAAGGAATTAACTGTGATACTCACATTTAGTATGCTCTAGATGAGAAATAAGATATTATATAAATAAATAAAGTGACTATTGATAAGTAGTGTTGGTCAATGAATCACGACTGATTAACAGACTGAAAAGATACAAGATGAAATATTTATCATTCAAAGCTTGCTTCCATAAGAGTTAGGGAGTGGGTATGGTTTTACACTGCTCATATTCCAGCAAAATCATGGAGGTGGATACCAGAAACTAGCTTCAAACATTGTAGCCATGCAGGGGAATCAAACGGTTTTACGAGCGAATGCTTTAATCACTCGATTACACCACCACGCTTGCTTCCAGCGTTATATCCTGCACCTTGAGATATTGTTTTAATCTCAAAGCTTTTCAGACCATCGAGACATCATCAGTTACCATGACATCACAATCAAATGACATCATTAATCTTTGCCAACGAAGCTTGTTACTGTTAGTTGTAACTTTTTCACTCAAGACATTGTTTACAAAATATTGGAATTTTTAACTTTTAGTGACTAGTGTTGAGGTATTTGATATCAAGAGACACTCGGGAAAGATTATCTATTTATGCAGACACAGAAAATCTTGCACCTGAACTTCAGGCCTGTTGCATCACCACCAATTGATGAAAGATTTTGTCACCGACATCAAAATGATCAACCTGATATATGACAGTCGCCAGCCGAGAAATTTATCAACCGTGAAGGTGACATTTCCAAATGAATAAAATAAGAAAAAAAACCACCTCAACAATCAGTTATTTCCTATTCAGAGTCAGTCAGAACTTACTTTTTTACTTCCTCATTCGTAAAACACGTGTGTCACCTGTAGAACACACACGCATTTGTTCTCCGTTTCTCTGGCAATCCGTCGCCAGGTCTCATGCGCCGAACCGACAACACCGAATTCTGCGGTCCATGATCCACCCCAGCACCACCCAAGCATATCAGGGCTTTTGGGGTCACATTTTTCGGTTGGGTGGCTCTTTCTGTTCCGTCAAGCCAGTTTCCAGTCGCTATTTTACACACTTTTCGAGACAGTGTGTTTGCGTTAGTTTTATCGACTATCGCGCTTTTCAAGGGAGACAACTCAGCGCATGTGTCCAATTCGCGTCTTACATTGCAAGCTAATTAAACTCAGCCAGTTCGCGTGTTTTAAGACTGCTTATGACACTATGATAAAAGGACATGCCATCAATTTTCCGCTATTAATCAGCGCATATATCGTCAGTTGAGTGGTCATGTCGTTTATGTGTTTACGTTAGGCGTGGCGGACGTCATATGTTGTATTGAGACGGTAGTCATGCGATAAGTTTGTCTGACATTTATAGACAGAACCCAGCTACCGTAATGTTTTCGATATTACCGGCCATGTTCTTTGAACACTTTTCTTCCCATATCTGCATATTTTGTTTTCCCACATTGCGAGGCATATGTAATTTTGTTTAAGTAAAATAGGCGTCATTATTATTTTAGAAATCAATTGGTTGCTCGTTTTGCAAAGAATAGTTGATTTTATCTTGATCTGCTTCACAGTTCTGATTTTTTCCCATTTGTGTAAATTTTTCAAAGTTGTGATTTAGAAAGTTTTAATCAGACATCACATAGCATCTTGTACCGACAGTTAATAATATGAGCAATATAATGTATCTTTATACCCAGTAAACATCTCGTCATGGCCTAATGTAATTTTAAAACCTCAGAATGTTAGAAAATAAGTAGGTTTATAAGTACAAAATATTGCTTCTAATTTATTCATATTTTGAATATTACTTCAGATTAATATTATAATGTTCCACATGATAATTATATTGAGACTTTTATCCTAGGTTATGTATTATTAAACACTGGTTATAGGCCTATCTATTTTGTTTCAATTTGAAAGAGTTTCTTCAAGTGACTTATTATGGGACACTTCAAAGAAAGACTGCATTAAAACATCAAACAGAAAATAGGTTATTAGTATTGAAATAGGTTACTAGTAGTTTACAATATTCAGCTTAGGCAAACTCTTTTTTCTGCCCCCCCCCCCCCCCTCATTATATACTGAGTTGAGCTTATAAGACAGACAGCATGAACTTTGCTTTATTTCTTTATATATCAAGCACCACCTTTGCAGGCCTTGGATGTTTTGTGTATAGTATAGTACTGCCATGACATTTGTTTCTGGGATATAAATGGTACAATACATACACACTTAGCTTTTAACATATTGAATCTAATTACAAATTGTGTGTTTTATGAATGGATTACAGCAGTGAAGCTTTGTTATTGGGTGTACCATTCCCATGGAAATTATCCAGGTAGCCAATTATTATTATTATGGTCTTTTCCATGTGTGTAGGTTGGTAGTTCGATGGGTGGTTGGTATTTGGCATAACAGGGATAAAATGAGCATTTGTTGTCATGGAGTCCATATGATGTGTCTGAATGGGGTATCCATCATGTTACACTGCAGCATGGAAACTCGGTGGGCACGCACTGTACACTTTACACTATGCAATGTCTGAACTGGTACAAGCAGCCACATACATGTTGCTATATAAATACAATAATCTTGAATGCGACCTTAAACCCCGTTTCACCTCACCACCGCTGCCTCAGGTCACAAATATTATATGTCTTTATCTGTTGTAAATGAGGCAGGCTCTATAGTTGGTCAAATCTGATGGGAATTGAAAGATTTGTAATATCTTTCAGAGAAGTGCTAACTGTAAATTCACCAACTACAAGACTGCCACCTGACTCATAATTGTTAAATAAGAGTTTTTCAAACTTCTTTGCAATTGAAGTACTGCCAAAGTGGTGTTTCACCACCATCACACTCCCATAAGTAATATGAATCCTAAATGCAGCAGTTAATCCATAATAAAACAACAGGCTTGTATATGACAGTTAAAAATAAACAGTCAAATATGACCAATTCTATTAATATTTCTGATCAGATGTTATTGTATTCTTCATTCTTCACAGAGTATATGACACTTTAGATGTACATAACATTTGTATGGCAGCACATTATGTCTTCAATGTAATTTCATTACGACATAAATACATCATTATCATTCTGTTAACTGTTTGAATGTTTTTTGTTATTAAGGTCTCATCATTGTTATAAAAAAGTCTATGTACCCCCATGCTTTCTGAACATCTACCATCTGTTTCACTTTGTGCCTCATCATGAAATAGGGTAATGCTAATGTTATAACCTGAAGTTACTGTTCAAATCTGGCAGAAAAAAGTCTTTATGTGAATCACTGTCAAATAGTCAAAAGAAGCGAACATGATAGACTGCCACACAGAGTTTTAGAATATAGCAAAAGAAGAAAAAAATATATTTTTCACACTGTCATTAAAATATGCAAGCATCTGGATATCCACGACTTTATATCTATGCCAGGCTCAACTCAGTAAGTGACATCTCTTAAAATAAAACACTCAAGATAATAATTGGACGTACTTGGTTTGAACACCTCTGGAATGATACATCAAATCCTCAACATGGAAATATACTACTCAGTTACCATATGTTTAAAAAGACATCTTGTCCCTGAACTTTACTTGCAAACCATTATATATGTCCATAAATCTCAGGAAATATCTCCCCAGACTATGTGTGGAAGCCTCACTCTACACGTGGAGACAGGTCGGCACAATGCAACCCCCATCCATGAGAGCTCAGAACTTGTTATTTGTGTAAAAAAAAGAGGAAAAAGAAGTTCATTTCCTTTCTGAGTGTAATTTTTAGAAAGACCTAAGATACAGTATTAATTTATCTTGTTACAATTCTACAATGCCTAACCCACATTTTTTTTATTAAACTGTTGTCTGAAAATAATCCTAAGTGCATGAAATTATTTCAAATGTATTACTTCTATAATAAGAAACATGTTTTTAAGACGACAATTATTCATGTGATATTTGCATTGTTTATTGTTCTACATCATTTTATGACGATTATATCATTGTGAATAGTTTTTTACTGTGCAAAATGTCTTCAATAAGTAGTATCTCATCAGCCAAAATATGGCACGATGTTAAACATGTTTTACTTTGCTTTGAAAATCTTTACCTTCGCATTTAACTTGTCACACTTTTATAAACTATATGTCTGTCTGTCCTTTTAGTTGGCCATATGAATGATAGGATTTTAAAGTAAACTGCTTGGGATATGGTAAGATAATATTTCCAATTTCTTCAAATTATATCTATTTTCAAAATATCATGAATATACATTATGTAAACTCTCAGATACAAATCCACAATTTGTAACAAAAAGAGCAAATGTCATCACAAACTAACTTCATTTTCAACAGTTGTCTTTTAGCATGTTTAGCACATTGTAGATCTTGAAATTAATACATCTCCAAATTAATACGACTGCTGACCCCTAGCCTTACATACTTACTTACTAAAATTGGGAATTTAATGTGCACTTTCCAACATATGCGTATTTCGTGCAGGGGCCTGCCAGGCCATTTAGTGATTGGTTGAAAAGGGTATGTCCGAAAAGGTAAGGTAACCTAGGGTGCTTTTTTAGGGTTGCTGACTGAATTTGGAGAACAAATTTGGAATATTGAAATATGCCATACAAAAAGGGTGGGGGTTGGGACTAAATGGAGTTTTGTGATTTTGTGTGTTTTTATAGGTTTAGAATTTTAGTATTTATGGACAGCTTGTTTGTTGTACTTTTTTAGATGCGGCCGAGTTGGCCTGTTTTGATTAGATAGATGCCAAGTGCTTTGAAAGTTTGTAAGTCATTTAGGGGGTTTAGTAGCATTGCTAGTGTCATTTGATTGTTGCAGTTTAGTGTGGATTGGAGTGTTCTGTGTTGCTGGTAATGTGTGCAATATAATATAACATGTTCAGGAGTTTCTTTTTAGTTGCAGTGGGGGCATTTACCAGTTTCGGGTTTTTTAATTTGATGTAGGTGGGAGTTAACTTAGTGTGGCCTGTTTGTAGTTTAGTTATTACTCTGTCCATGTTTTTGGTTTAATGATGGATTTTTGTTTGTTTGAGTGACTTTTGTAGCAGGTGTTTTAGTTTGCAGTCAGATTTCTTATGGTTATTTTGCCACTTTTGGAAGATTTTCTCCTTTGTGATACTTTTAATTTTTGGATATTGGTAGGTTGATGCTTACTTCTAATTTTAGTGCTGATTTTGCTGCTTTGTCTGTGTGTTCATTGCCAAGATTGTTGGCCCTTTTAATCATCTGTTATATTAGTTATGGGCGTTTTTTTTTTTTTTTTATTTTTATGACCTGGAGCCCACTTAATGAGTCTGAAAGGATTAGGGTTTTTCGGTGTCTATTTATTTGATCGCTGTGCAGAGCTGTTATTATCCCTGTTAATTTGGCTGTGAAAATTGATTGATTATTTGGGAGCCTATAGGATTTTATTTATTTTTTTGGTTTGTCCATATGGATGCCGAATCCTGTGCTTTTTGAGCCCGGGTCAGAGGACCGATCTGTGTAAATGTGGCACCAATTTGGCCATTTTCATGAATGTATGCTAGTGTGGTTGGGTTTGAAGGTGTTATTTGGTGCTGTGTCTAGTTTTAAATTATTTAGGTTGTGTGTATTTAGGTAATTTATTATGCGATTAGAGATAGGTGTTAATTGAGGGGTTTTGCGAGCTAGAGGTTGGAGTCTTGGGCTTATGTTGGTTTTAAGTATTTGTTGGATTTGTGGGTTTTGTTGGGTTGAAGCCCAGTAATTTATTGTTGGGTGTTCTCGGCGTAGATCCAGGGGTATTTCGCCTGTTAGTGCCTGCAGCGATATGCGTGGCATGTTATTATTTTTAGTGCTCAATATTGAATTGAGTTTAGTTTATCGCTTAATGAGGAGTTTAAGGTGTTGTGTATTTGGCATCCATAGTCTATTTTTGATCTAATTAGTGATTTGTAAAGTGATAGTAGGGTCTCCTTGGAGGCCCCCCAGTTGGAGCCTGTCAGGCAGCGTAGTGTGTTCAGGTCTTTAGTGCATCTATTTGTTAGGTTTTTAATGTGAGCACCCTAGGTGA